CAAGTTGGATTTCTGAACAAACAAATAATGTCAGTGTCAGGCCAATTTAATTTTCTCTCTTTGGAGAATATTAGACTGTCTAGGTAAGAGAAAAGTAAAAGATTGAATATAGCTGAAGTAGCCAGACATTTTGTCTGTCTCTGTGATTAGACTGCAAGAAATTGTTTGGAGCAGCATGTCCCCAAAAGAATATTTCATAGAAGTCTATTAAGTGTTCCATGAAACAAGTAGTTTGGAGAATACAGGGTAAAGTAGGCTACTTTACAATGGGATTTCTTTCTTTCTTTCTTCTTTATTTATTCATTTAAAAAATACATATATTTGGTACAGGGTCTCACTAAGCAGCTTGGACTCATAGTGATCCTCCTGTCTCAGCCTCCCCAGTGCTGGCACTACAGGCATGCGCCACCCTGACTGGACTCTGCGGCTGCTCAGCATGCCTGGGAGAGGTGGCCTGTGGTGCCGGGGGTCGAACCCTGGTCCCTGCACTTGCCTCAGCAGGTGCTTAGTCTGCTGAGCTATCTCGCTGGCCCTGTAGGATTTCTTAAGTGTTTTTAATAAGGTAATCTGACTCTTTAGAGTGCACAGCATCTCTTAAACTTTATTATTTATTTATTTATTTATTTTTATGAATTTAGGGTAGGGTCTATAGGGTCTACAGGGTCTCACTATGTAGATCAGACTTGTGATCCTCCTGTTTTCAGCCTCCCAAATGCTGGGATTACAGGCGTGCAGCACCACGCCCAGTTCAGTCACCATCTCAGCACGCCCCGGGGATAGGGCTGGCATGGCAGGCTGGAGATCGAACCCTCTGCTTCTGGATCTACATAAGCAGGTAATTTAATCCACTGAGCTATGTGGCCGGCCCTTCTTAAACTTTGTTTGATCATAGAATTCTTTTAAAAGTCATAGAAGACAGAGAGGCCTAAATGCATCTATTGTATTGTCTTGGGTGATGTTACGGTTTCTACAGGCAATTACTAAGCTTCACCATCTTCATGTAGAGAGGTAATATGTTGTATTCCACAGGGGTAAGGGTTTAAAGATCATTACCTACAATTTTATTCATTAGCTGGATAATGGGAAGAAAAATCTTTTTTTAAAAATTAATTAATTAACTAATTAATTAATTTATTTGGTACAGGATATTGCTATGCAGCTTGGACTTGCAGTGATCACCTGCGTAGCCTCCCAGCACTGGGATTACAGGCATGAGCCACCACGCCCGGGTCTGGTTGCCAGCAAGGCGTGCCTGGCACTGCATGCTGTACCAGGGATTGAACGGAGGTCCTTGCACTTGCCAGGCAGGCGCTTATGCCATTGAACTCTCTCCCCAGTCAGACAATCATTATTAAGCATGAAGCGGGACAGTTGCTGTCTACTTGGAAGACATAAAGTTCAAATGACATTCAAAACAAAATTCTATTGAGAATACAATGAAGGTCAAACAGATGTCTCTTCTACAAAACATGACCTGTGTAGAAAAAATTTTAAAAAGTTTTTTTTGCACATGTGTAAATGTCTTGAAGACAAGGAAAACAGTTTGTGGTTCTTGAATAAAAGCACAATTAATAAAGAAACATCACCACAAAAGTTGGTAATGCCTGGTTTGGTCACGTGTACTGTAGCAAATCCACAGGGAAATGTAGTATATCTTGCAGACGGGGCTGGCTCTATTTTAGAATGCTGATGTCCTATGTTCTTCCTCAGCACTCTGTGTACCACATAAAACACCCTATGGGTTCTTCTGGAAGGCCTGATCTCCCAAGCCCAAGCTTCCGACCTGGGATGCCCTTGAGCAGTTGGAGGAGCTTCTTCAGAGGCGAGCCTTGTAAATGTCTGATTCACGGAGAGCCTCCTGCTTTCTTCCCTACACTTGCCGTGTTGGACAGAAACTGACCCCCTATGCAAAAGGTTTCCTGGCTCCTTGAGATTCTGCTAACTCTAGCAATCATCCAGTACTAAACAGTGTTCCTGGGACATGGAGGGGTGAATGCTAAAAGACTGAGGGTTGCACTCCCATCTTTGTCACTTCTTCAGCTTGACAGCTCACATTAGGATACGGTGGATCCCGGGCATCTGTGAGGGTATGTCTGTGTGTGCGCACATGTGTGTACACTCGCCAAGAGAAAGCCAGTGTGAAAGGAGAATCAGAGAGTTCCTGAAGCCTCGTGTGCTGGTGCTCTGCGCTTTGGGGATGTTTGACACTTACGTGCAGAGTGACTTCTAGGACAGGCAACCTTCTAAGAGATGGGGAAGCACTGTCACAGGAGTAATGGGGAGAAGGGTGGGTGATGTTGGACCTGGCTAGGATCTGAATCTGTGGCCGATGGAGTTCTTTTACTACTTAAGAAAGATAAAAAGGAGTCAGGAAGCAGCCCATGTTGATATGAAGAAATAATTTTGGTAACAATTAAAACTGTCCAATGATGGATAAGAGTGCCTTATGGAAAAAAAGTCCCTAAAAATAAAATTATTTTTGAGCATTCATTTTGTGACAGGTGTTATGCTAAGCATACTAAATATGTGCTGTCTTATTCAATCTTCCCAAATCCCTAGGAGGTAAGAAAGGCTGTTACCTGAATAACGGGAAATGGCAATAGAATTTTGGAGGTGACCTACTCTCTGGGGTCACACAGGTAGTAAAGGAAGGCGGGAATCTGATCCTGGAATGTGTATGCCAAGCTGTTAATCTACAGCTGCTCTTCTGGGATGTGTTAAGCATTCTGATGAGATGGAGACTTTGTGGACTTCAAGATGTCTCCACTGCAAGACAAGGCCACTGTAGGCAATTTCTAAAATCTCTCATCAAAATTTTTTTCATATGTGGGATTGCAATACTGACATGAACCCCTTTAAACATTGGGTTCTTCTGTGGGTCCATCTTTCTGAACCGTGTGGTGGTGTATGGCAAGTGACACTCTATCCAAAAGTTCCTCTGGCTTCTGGAGATTCTGTTAAATCCAGAGATTATCCAGTGATGAATGACATTGCTGAGACATGGAGGGGTGGATGTTAGAGGAGCCAGGACCAGAGCCCCTCATATTAGGATAAGACATATCCTGGGGATCTGTGAGGATGTGTGTGTGTGTGTGTGTGTGTGTGTGTGTGTGTGTGTATCTGTGGAAAAACATTTTTTCCTAGTTTAACAGAAATGTCAAAAAGCGAAGAAATCTAGAGAAGTTCAATAAAAACTAGGCGCTGGGTGAACAGCTTGGCCTACAATGTAAGTCAGAGAAAGATGCGTTCTTTCCGCTGAGGACTGACTTCCCGATTTCCATATGCAAAGGGTTAGCAGTGTGCAAATTTCTAGAGAGCAAACCAAGAAATTCATTCTGCGAGAAAGCTCGGACTGACACAAGAATGTGTTCCCAGTGAAAATGTTTGGGAATAAACGAAGCCTTCAAAAGCCAAGGTGGGAGAACAGGGTCACGTCAGAACGGAAGCCGAGCCCGGTGGGCACCCTGCGCTCGCTGTGTCTCAGCAGCCTTGGCCTCTTAGCCTGCCCCGAGGAGCCGTGGGATGAGCTGACTGCGAGCTCCATTCTCTTTCATCCTGACCCTCTAAGGGACCCAGGAGAACAGGAAAATGAAATCGGAGCTATTTTCATTTTGGGAAAGCTTTAAATTTGGTAAATGTGGTGATAGGCATTTGCAGTAGCCAGCCACAGGCTACTGCAGCGAATGACCTTACGGAATCCCCGTCCAATTCACCAACCTCTGGCTCCCAGCAGCAGGGGAGATCCCTTAGCATCACCCTTAATAAAATCATCTTGGAAAATCAACATTCCTGCTCAGTGGAGCTTTAGTGTATCAGTATCAAGGGCAAGAAGCCAGTTTTTCTTCACCACAAAAAGAAATGGCACACCTTTACAAAGAGATTATTTTTTAACCTTTGGAAGGATTTTTTTCGGTTTCGCAGAAATTTTATGATACTTTCAAGACCCCACACTTCATGGCTTGTTCGTTGGCCCATTACTCTTGCACTTAACTTGATAAGGTCCTGGTTCCTGTGATATTAGTGTTTAGGTTTGGCCTCTCCCAGCTGCGGCTTTGAAGTTCCTGATAACATTCTTAGCCTCGCAGAGAGCTAGTGGCTTTTCAAATTCCCATTGTCCTCTGTTCATTGTCTGGCTGCTATCGTTGCCTTCTCCGTGTGCGGGTACATGCTAACGTTGGCTTTTCACTGCTTTTGAAGGAGGGCTAACCTTAGGCCTTTGTAGGTAGCTAATCATTCTAGCCACAGAATCGCGGCAAATTATTTGGGAAATAATCACTTTTCTCCCTGAGCTTGGCAGAGTCTGATTTGCTTTGGATATTCATGGGACACACACAAGTAGTAATACAGCATCTCCAGTGACTCCTGTGAATGCATATCACCCTATTCTCTTTCATGTTTGCACAGAAATTCTTTTGAAGTGCGGTACCCAGAAGTCTACTGTCATGCTCTTTACCCGAGGAGATCCTCTGCTCCCAGCACCCGCAGCAGGCGTGGCTCAACAACCAGAGTTTGGGAAAGCGAGTTAGTTTACTGGGCAATATTAGGTCTTAGCATCAAGTGAAGAGGAAAACCTTTTCTGGACAGAGCATCTTTAGATTACCCACTGTGGGAAATGGGCTTGAGAACATTTGAAGTGTTTCTGAAAGTTGTTTATGCATAGCTAGGAGAGAGGCGTCTCAATCTCTGTTGTGTTCATAGGCAAATATTTGGAGAAATTAGGCAAAATTATCTCCTGCTTGAGCCATTTAGAAGAAAATTGCTTCTGTGATTTTAAGAACCATCTTTCCGACACATTTAATATGAACGCTAGGAGACTGAGTTGAACAGTTGCTTGGAGCGCTTACGCATGACTACGAGGGGTAAAGTAGGGACTCGCACCCTGGTGCATTCTGGAGGTGGTGGGGCCCCCGCGAGGGAGACCGAATCACAGGGGCACGTGCATTGAGAGGGGCGAGCAGCGCGTGGTGCACAGAGGCGGCGTCGTGGGCGAGGCTACTCACAAGTGTTGGCGGTGCCCTTGGGGATGGGGAGGTACGAGCCGGGGCTCCAAGGCCGGCCCTGGTAGTTCTTCTTGCACTTCCCGCAGTCCGGCCCCGTGGTGTTGTGCTCACACTCACAAGTCAGTTTGCTGTTGTCGTACACACACACGGTGGCGTGCAGGTTACACTTGCACCTGGGGAGGAGACACAGAGAGGCGCGGTCAGTCTAGGCGGTCGCAGCGGTCCAGGGCTGCGGCTCTCACGCTTGCGGGGCTCTGGTGCTGCCAGAGGCACTGGGGATCAGCGCACCCCCGAAGGCCCCGCCCCCAAGGCTTCCCCTCAAGGGCCTTCTGTGGGCAGAGGGGGTGGCCGGACCACGCTGCCCGGCTCCGCACTGCACTCCGAGGAAGCCCTAATCGCAGTCATTCCAGTGCGGGCCCTGGGACCTACACTGGACGGCTGGGCTCCCAACTCAAGAGGTTGCCGTTAGTGGGAAGCGGCTCTGCGACGGCAGCACCCTGATCGCAGCTGCATCTGAAGGTCATCGGAGAGACTAAGGGACAAGCTACCTTCTCTCCTTCAAACCATCAGGACAATCCTTACTTGTGTAAAACAGAGAGATACCTTTAGAAAAATTTGCCAGTCTTATTTTACCGATGTGACAGGCTGTAACCAGGTATTCTCATTTAGGGCCCTAAAATGGCATTTCCTCAGATCAGAAGGGTTTTTCACCAAGGCCTGTGGCCAACCTGAGGGGAAACGAGATGGTAATCCTCAGATTTCTCACACACCGCACATAAGGTCGTCACCAAAGTCCCTCTGAAGCAGGCCAAGTGCTTCTAATAAAAGGTGCTTAGAATCCTGGCAAATAAAAACTCTGTATGTGGCAGGGTTTGAAGTCATTAGCGGTGGCTCTTCCTTTGCTGTCTGCAAATAGAGCTGTGATATATGAGAGGCAACAATGGAATATGCAATTTCCACAGAAATGCTCCCCCATATTCGAGGCCTTTGACTAGAAAATTGCAAAGGCCAACTTGGTATTTGTTGAGGCAGCAGGTTATAAATTGGATTGCAACAAGCATGGGGCCACATCCTCCGGAAAAGTAAAATGTAAGATGACACGAGGACCGTGACCAGAGATCAGGATAATAGATTTGGGAACAGATGGGTCCATGCAGAGGGCTAGGCTCCAGCCTGGGGTGGGGTGGGGGACACCAGGCTGTGCAGGAGTCAGCATGCGAAAGAGTGTGCGTGAGTGTGTGAGTGTGTGTGTGTGTGTGTGTTGAAATGAACTCCATCTCCTTCAGAAACTAGAACAAAAATATAGAAATGCAAGCTTCATAAAGACAAGGGAGCGATGTCATGAAATGACAAAAATAACAGAAGATTCCTTCTAAAGTAGCGAATGGAATTCCTGAACAGTTGCAGTTGTTTTCTAGAATGTTCGCATCACAAGAGCCAGCCTTTCTCCTAATGAACTGTCTGAACACCGGCCCACCTTTAGGACAAGGAAGAAAAGAACAAGTAGGTCCGAGATGGAGACCGTCTGCTCTCCCCTCCCACAAGGAGTGGGTGCAGAGGCCATGGCCACCCGCCCACACCTGTCTGGGAGAAGAAAGCCTTGGCCTCCATATGGCCTTCCTACAGTCCTGGTTGTCCTCAGCCCTCTGTGCACTTATGAACTGCAAGAAGGCTGCAATAGAACAACACTACTTCATTTAGATTTATCAATAGTGCCTTTAAAAATTAACATTTTCATACAATCTTTTATTTATTTTTTATGTATTTAGTACAGGGTCTACAGGGTCTCACTACACAGATCCGACTCATAGTGATCCTCCTGTTTTCAGCCTTCCAAACTCTGGGATTATAGGTGTGCCCACCACGCCCAGTCTCAATCTCAGTCTCAGTGTGCCCCAGGGGCTCGGCCGGCATGGCACACCAGGGATTGAACCCTGGTCCCTGCGCCTGCCTCAGCAGATGCTTTAGTCCACTGAGCTACCTGGTCAGCCCTCACAATCTTTTAAAATGGCAGGAGCAAACATCATTCAGTTCATTAGATGATGTTTAATTATAAGGCAGAGCCTATCTCCTCTCCTTAGGCAGCTGCTGTGCTAGTTTGTTTATTAAAGGATCTTTCTCCTTCCCGACACTAGCACTTTTATTTATGGGTGTTTTCGTACATACAGGAGATGTTTGGAACCTAAGTGAGAGAAGCACCAGCTTACGCCGATTTAGCACCCTATCTGGTGTTAAAAATTCCAAATGAGGAAATGAACACTGTGACCCCCCAAAAAGACCAAGAATGTAAGTAGTAATTGTAAAATTGGCCTACAGATCTTGTAACTTGTTAATACACTCATACTGGTGGCCATTCTCTGAGTTAACAGGCAGTTTCCCTTCTAAAGACACTACGTTAGCCAGGAAAACATTCTTTGAATAATGAGGGAAGGGAAAACTGAATTGTTTGGCATTATCTGGTGCGGCTGTCCCTCAGTGATGGGCTCACTGTCACCTGCTTCATCCGAAGCTCAGGTCTGTTCATAACCTTTCCCTGAGACCCACCCGGATCACCACAGACACCTGGAGCTCAGGTTTCCTGAGTTCCTTAATTGCTTCTGTGGTTTTAGTTTGGTTTACCACCAAAGGCTCTTTGTGCTTCAAAATTGTTTTGATCACTGTACAAGTCTCTCATCTTTTGGGATTCACGTTATACCAAATTTTTTCCAGTTACCTCCTCAGCACATTCCTCCCTTCCTTTTTTGTTTTTAAAATTTTATGTATTTGGTACAGGGTCTCACTATGCAGCTCAGACTCATAGGAATCCTCCCGTTTTGAGTCTCCACAGCGCTGGGATTACAAGTGTGCACCACCACGCCCAGACTCGGTCACAGGCTTATTGTGCTTGAGGGCAGAGATGGCGCAGCATGCAGTACCAGGGATCGAACCCCAGTTCCTGCACTTGCCTAAGCAGCCTTCCTTCCTTTGTGAGTTCCCCAAACTTCCATCTCCATTTACTTAGCTCATACTATTCCTAACTAAAGATGGTCTCTGATGTCAAAAGGAATGTGGGCTTTTTACGTAACAGAATACTACTCAGCCCTACACAGGGATGCACTGGAAATTTTGTAGGTAAATGGATGCAACTCGACCCATTCTTGTGAGATAAATCGCACCCACATGTGTACACTCCCTCTTGCCTCACTAGGGTGAGACAAGTAAATATAGTGAGTAAATATGATCCAAAATGTACTGGAGATACTGTGAGCTGGGAAGAAACTGTTCAAAAGAAAAGACAAACTATGATGGGAATGGGGAAAGGATGACAGGGAAAAAGAAAAAGAAACATATTTATACCCAGGGCAGTTAAAAGAGTTATACAGCTAGCTTCTCTGTGTTCTTTGCAAAGAAAGGTTTGAGCTAGTATTGTATGGACCAGATATCATGCCTGTATCTTGTCTCTGAATAACTACTATAAAAACAATAATACACAACATATTAATCATTTAACTCTCCTACTAAACTGCATTGAAACAGTTTCATTATTATTTTTATCTTTTTTCTTTTTAAAATTAAAAACAAAGATCATCCACGTCCTCCTTGTAGAATATCCAATGGCCACTTTTCCTTGCATTATTTGATTTTCAGTGGCACTAGCTCTGTGGATCACTCTCTCTCCTGTGGCGCTTCCCCAGTGGACACTCAATCTCATTTTCAGGATCCTCTTTTTGCCTTTCTCTATAGGTGCTGTTCTTGATTTCTGGTCCAGAATTGTCAATACACCCTCCCTGGGAAAAAATTTTATGTATTTGGTATAGGGCGGGGCCAGCACAGCATCTAGTACCAGGAATCGAACCCAGGTCCTTGGGATTGCCTATGCAGGCCCTTAGACCACTGAACTATCTCCATGGCCTGCTCTCCTGGGAATTCTTAGCTAGGTCAGCCCTTCCTTTCTCTCCTGTGGTATTTAATGTTCTTACAGTTCTAGACATTTTAAAACAAAGTTTCATCATTATCTTCTTCAACCCCTAAATAAATATATATAAAATAAGTTCAAATATTGGATATCATCTTAGGCGATTGAGCAGTTCTTTGTGAATTACACCAATCAGCAGAGCAGGCTCCTGCCGTGATCAGCAGGTGAAGAGAGACTGATCAACGTGCTACCAAGTCCCGGGTCTGCATCTCCGTCACACCCCTCTCCCTTGGGTTTCCCACTTATTCATTGAAATGCCTTCTGGGCACATCAGCTGAGCATGTCCAGAACTGATCTCTGGCTTCCTCCCTTCTCTGCTCCTTTTGTGTTTTCTGCCTGAGGACTTTCTGCCTTGTGAAATGTACTCACTTCTACCAAGTTTGCCAAGAACAGCTCCTCCACTTCCCTTGCTTACCACATTTAACCTGCCATTCCTCAAACCGTGGCCAAGTCCTGAGGTTTCTAGTTCTCCCATATCTCACAAAGCCAGACAGCTCAACAAAGACCACGTCTTCAGCTCTGATCATCATTGCTTTAATCTGACCTACTACAACTGCTTTGGAGCAGAAGTTAGTGTTCCAGGCATATTCCTTTTACCCAATTTAACATAATAGCCCAAACAATCTTTTATATGAACATATCTGTGTCATTTCTGCCTTCCAAGTAGGACAAGATTTGCAGCTGTCTTTTGCATTCCTTTGTGGCACGGATGACAAGTCTCTTTACATTTTACCCCTTGTCTCTTCTTCAACTCCTAACTCTATGCTTAGCTCTTTGATGTCTGCCTTCAGGTAGTCATATAAACTATTTCTTCTTCCCACAACATTCTACTCTCCTACTCCTGCCTCTTTTGTCTGGATAACTCTTTCCTTTGGTTGTGATTTAGATATCTCAGTACCTGGGTCCTGGTTTATATTTGAAAACAACATCTGGATCGAGGAAGTAGCTCAGTGATAGTGCAGCATTTGCTTAGCATGCGCAGGCCCTGGGTTCAACCCCCAGCTCTACAGAAAACAAAAACAAAACAAAGGACAAACAAGCAAAACATAAACATCTGCTGATCACCTATAAGAGCCCCTTTCTATCCCTCCAGGAAGAAGTTCCTCTGTGCTCCCAAGACACTGGGCAAAGCTAATTCCGTAATGAAGCTGTGCTCTCTCTACCAGAAGTAAGTTCCCTTTAATTGCTTGTCCTTTTATCACCTTCACTGGGACATAA